TTGGATATGTTTGCTTAGAGATTCTTTGTAATTTACCACGTGATTTTCTTTCTTTTTTTTCCCCCCCTGCTAAGTTGCTGCCTCCTTCTAGTACTAGATGGAACCTTAATCTAAGATTTGCCTCAATTCTAGGAAACCTCCTAGAGCAGCAGTCCCCAACCGTTTTGGCACCAGGGAGTGGTTTTATGGAAGAACATTTTTTCACGGACTGGAGGGGCAGGGGCAATGATTCAAGCACATTACATTTATTGTGCAGTCAAACCTCTCTGCTAATGATAATCTGTATTTGCTGCCACTCCCCAGCGCTAGCATCACTGCCTCAGATCATCAGGCATTAGGTTCTCATAAGGAGCGCACAGCCTAGATCCCTCACATGTGCAGCTTACAGTAGGGTTCCCGCTCCTATGAGAATATAATGCAGCTGCCGATCTGACAGGAAGGAGAGCTTACTCAGTGATGCTAGCAGTGGGGAGCGGCTGTAAATACAGATGAAGCCTCGCTTGCTCACCTGCTGCTCGCCTCCTGCTGTGTGACCAGGTTTCTAACAGGCCCTGGACTCATACCAGTCCCTGGCCTGGGAGCTGGGGACCACAGTCCTACAGCATGGTGCTGCTGAACAGTCACTCTGATTTGGTGTCTCCTTTTGTTAAGTTACAGACCAGAGTTTCCAGGGCTGGGAATGGTGGTCCTGCCTCCCTCATTTGTCTCTGGCTGTCCTCAGGGATATTTTTCCCTTTAGGCACTCCTGATGCTTCCCACAGTTTGGGGCAGGCACAGGTCTCCTGCCAGGAAATCTAAGATGGTTAAGGAAGCTGGTTGCCCAAATTGAATTTGTTTTCTCTAGTGTAGAAACCATGAGTTGCCCAGAAATTTTGCTCATGCTTGGTGCTGGAGAGATTGGGAGGAGAGGTGTCATGCATATGGAAGGCTGATTCTCTTACTGTCTGCTCAGAGTTTGTTCATTTCTCTGTGGCCCCAGGAAATGTCTCAGTCCTCATATTTGAGTTTGGGATATTGCTGGTGACAATCTTGGTGCTATATATTTGTTTTTTATTTTCTGTGGGAGGGAGTTTAGCCAGCTTGCTTCTGTGGCACCATTTTGAAATCAGAAGTTCCTGAATAATTTGTATTTTTAATACAAATTTGTAGTAAATATAAAAATAAATCATACAACTGTTATAAATACTATAAAACCTTTAACATAAATTTTCCCTATTTTTTGAAATTTGCTTTTTATAGGTGTTACAGGTATCTGAAACAAAGCTCCTTCAGTTCTAAATCTAGCATTGGATTTTGTTGGAGAATCTGCAATCTTCCTGGCGATGAGCACAGAGAGACATGTGCAGTGACAGGCTGTAAGACATCTGTAACATAGCTGGGCTCCCTAAGCTTGGACCAACAAGCTTGCCGAAGAAGCTGCATGTAGATTCCACCCTAAATACCAGTGATGCATCAAACCAGAGAATTTTTCCCACCCAAATAAGCATGCAATATGGTTTTTTGGAAATATGCATTCCCTGATCCCCAAATACTTGTCTGTATAGCTAACTTAACAGGATAGTCAGAGCCCTTATCATAGCAACAAAAACTTCAACCTTTAAAATTAGTTATTGTCCTAACCAATCATTGCACATTTATTATTACCAATGACTCCCCATTATAGTTTTTGGATCTTTACCATAAGCACATGTTTGGGAAAGGAGACAGTGAAATAATCAATGTTCACAAATATGAGAGCAGAAAATTCAGCCTAAAATCTGATAGTCATGACTGGGTAACAATGTGTTAGCAATAAAATTATAGGATGATTCTGTTATCTAAAAATGTATAAAATAGGAACATAAAAAATGCTGTCAGCAAGATTTTTTTTTATTTTAATATGACACTATTCTACCACACATCCAAAAAACAAATAAACCCAAGTGTTGGGGACTGTTAAACAATGCATTAGTTTTCAGAATATTATTTTTGTTTGTTTACCAGACATGTTTTAACTTTTTATTGCCCAAAGTACATTAACTACAGACGTGTAATATAAAACATCAACATCCCCTAAAACATCCTATACATGATACAACATCATGTATATTTGGTTAATTATATTGCTACACTGCTTAATTTTAACTGGTTTGTTTTCATTGTAGCAGAAGACGAATGTATTGAGAAAAAATCATATGTGTTTGATAATCACACACACACACAAAAATCATTTTGGAAATTGACTGAAGATAAAACAATCTTCAACCCAAGGCTTCCTGCATAAAGTCTGGTTGTCACACATGACAACTCAACAATGGGAAGCCATGCTTCTTCAGTGCGCAAAGTCATGTTTAAACTTGGAAAAGAGAATGCTACAATAGTTACAAAGTTCAGTATCCTGAACCTAAGGAACATTCCATAAATGTTGCTTGATAACAATGTGGTTGTCTAAAATAAATGTTCTTAAGGAAATAACTTATGTAACATTTGCTACTTAAACATAAATAAATGCCACTGAAAAGATAAAAAGCATTTTCTTGTTTCTTTATTAATGTATAAAACTCAGGGGAAAATTTTTTTTGAGGATGATGGCTTCTTCACCTACATATTGGAATATTATTATCATAATTTGACTATTTGGCTCTAGGTTATTTTTCCCATAAAATGTCATGCTATATAGAATATATAGATAATGTTCAGGAAGGTAAATAAATTTAATATTTTTATTTAAAATGGATAATTTTACTAAGATGTTGCTTTTAAGAAACCCTACTAGATACTATAGCTTGTCTACTATTTATATTAATAAAAAGGTAAATAGCCTTTGCAAAACATAACAGTATTATTCAACTGGAACTTGTATGGTCTTTCCTTAAAGTATTTTGAACTATGTTGATATCTTTATAGATAATAAACATATTTTTGATTCATCTTTGTATATTGGTCTAAATGAGTTAGAAAATAAGAAAACTAATAAAACCAAATAGAGTGTCCAGAAAGCAATTCACATACATGTATGCGTATATATACACATACTTTATGTATACACATATATAAGACTTTAGAATATAATTAAAACAGAATCCTTAATAAGTAGGGAAAGGAAGGTTTATTCAGATTAACTGAATCTGATGCTGTGACAAGTGGTAGCTGGAAAAAATTGTTACATTCCTATTTCAAACTATGTTACATAAAGAATTTCAGATTAATAAAAACTAAAATATGGACTCAGATAAAAAATTTTAAATACATTAATATTTTCATATTCTTGGAATGGGAAGGACATTCTTAATCCAAAGGTAGTCCAGCAAATGTGCTAAAAAATGACTTCCTGCATGTGTGTTCTGTGGTTTTCCTGCATGGATGTAATCATTTCATTAAGCATTTTACCCCATGGTGGATGTGCACTCAGCATTATCATCAGTTCTGCAATGATATTTTTCTTGTGAGTGTTTTTCATGCATTCATCACTTTTGCAGCTCTTTCTCACATTTTTTTTCTTGTAAAATCTTGTACTGATACTGTACCATAGCTTTTCTTGAACATCTATTTTTTTAATGACAAGTAGTTTCCTGGATCAGTAATTTGCAGGTGGATTCTTAGGTGGTGGGGGAACTGGGGATTTCCTTCCAGGCTCCAAATCTTCCAAAAGCCTCTTTTTGCTGCCACAGAGACCACTGATTCTGGTGGGTATGGCTTTTCTGGGAAATGTTTTTGTGTGTAGCCCCACTTCCCCTGGTTCTCTGATCCAAGCTGAATCTGGAAGGGATTCGTTTGCCAGCCCTGCATTTCCCAGGCCCTTCAGCAGCTGCAAACAACGGACAGAACCCCTGTACTTCCAGGTGAGCCTTTTTAACCTTCAAGCACTATTTTTTCGTGCACCTTTCTGCAAAGTGCTGCTAAGAGCCCTCTAGGTACTCTGTGTCTTTTCCCTCTGCATCCCAACCTCGAGACTTCAGCTGAAGCTCAGCTTGCGACAGCCCTGTGCTCACTCAGTTGTTATATTTGTTAAATATTTTGCATTTCCGGATGAGCTCTTCCTTTTCAGGAAGTATGATGTTCTCTGAGATCTACTCATGAGGCACCTTGACATTCCCTTTGCATTTCCTGCCCAATTTCACTTCTTTTAGCAACTTAAAAAAATCCTTGGATTCTGTAAATTTTCTGTCACATACTTTGCTAAGTAGTGTTTTATCATCATTGTTATTCTGTTTTTACTTCTCCTTCTTGTTTTTTTTTTTTTATTTCTTAGAGGAAGAAAAAGATAAGTCAGTCTACTGACATATTCATATGTGAGAGGTAGATCCAGTGTTGCTACTGCAGGATTGCTGGATAAAATATGGATGCCCAGTTAAATTTGAATGCGATGAAATGTGAATATTTTTAGTATTAGTATATCTCATGTAATATTTGGGATATACTTACACTAAATAATTATTCATACATATGAAATTCAAATTTAACTGAGTATTGTGTATTTTTATTTGCTAAATCTGGCAACCCTACGCTGCCATAACACCTAACATCATTCTAATTATCATTCTATTATTCAGAATATGTTTATCCATTCTCCCTGAGGCTCTGTTAATTTTCTCTTTCCTTAATATACTAGAATTTGATGAAAATGTGCTTTGTTGCATATCCATTTTTATTCATGATGCTGGACACATGATAGGACCTTTCAAACTAGATACCTGTATCCTTTAATTTTGGGGATAGATATAGATCTATTTCCAGTACTACAATTAATTTATGAATTCAATTATCATATGTTCATCACCTAAGTCTCTTTACAATTTTGTTTGTCTTATTTTGTTTGTTTTTTTTGACACAGAGTCTTGCTCTGTGGCCTATGCTAGAGTGCAGTGGCATCATCATAGCTCACTGCAACCTCAAACTCTTTGGCTCAAGTTATCCTCCTGCCTCAAGCTTCCCAAGTAGCTGGGACTATAGGCATGCACCACCAAGCTTGGTTAATTTTTCTATTTTTGGTAGAGACCGAGTTTTGCCATGTTGCTCAGGCTGGTCTCCATCTCCTGGCCTCAAGCAATCCTCCTGCCTCAGCCTCCCAAAGTGCTGGGATTAATAGGTGTGAGACATCATGCCCAGCCTCCTCACAGTTTTTAATCTCCTTACTTCTTTTTTTTTTCTGCTTTCTGCAAGATTTTCTTTGTTATATATCCTCAAAACAATCTATTAAACTTTTAATTTCAATCATCAAAATTCTAAGAGTTATTTTTTGTTCACACATTATTCTTTTTTCAGAAAATTATAGGCTGATATTAATATGTGCATGCTGTATTGCCATAGACTGATTATTTGTGTCCCACCCCTCACCACAAATTTATATGTTGAAACTTAATCCCTAATGTGAGGGTATTTGGACATGGAGCCTTTGGGAGGTAATTAGGTCATGAGGGCAGAATAGAAGTAGTGGCCTTAAAAAAGAGGCCCCAGAGAGATCCCTCGCCTCTTCTGCCAAGTAAAGACACAGCAAATAGATGACTGTTTTTGTGAACTAGGAGGAAGACCCTCACCAGACCTTAAATTTGCTGGCACCTTCATCTTGGACTTCCCAGCCCCATCCAGAACTGAGAAAGATAAATTTCTGTCATTTATAAGCCATCTAGTCTATGGTATTCTCTTATAGTAGCCCAAGCTAACTAAGATAACTATATTTATCTCTCTGAAAATTTTAATTACTATTGTCCTGGATTAGGCTTTGGCTTAAGGGAATGTTGTACCAGTTTGATCTTCTATCCAGACCACTATAGGTTTCTCTATATCAGCAATAAGGCTGTTTCACTTTTTTATCATCCACATGTTCCCTGGTGTGGCACTTTTAATTTCCTTCCAGAACTTTCCCTTCGTATTCACTACTTGGGCCGTTCGGTGCAATAGGCCTAACTTATGGTTTAAAGTGAGAGATGTGCAACTTTTCCTTTCACTTTAACACTTAGAGGGTATTGCAGGGTTAATTTCAATGTTGTTGCCTCTCAGGGGATAGAGAGCCCCAAGGAGAGGGGGAGAGACAGAGAACATAGAGCAGTCAGAGCACAAACATTAATCAATTAAGTTTGCTGTCTTACAGGAGCATGGTTTATGGAGCCTCAAAATACTATCAATAGTAATGTCAGAGATTACTGACCACAGATTGCCATAACAGATATGGCAACATTGAAAAGTTTGAAATATGCGAATTGCCAAAATGTGACAGAGAAACATGGAGTAAGCATATGCCGGTGGGAAATGGTGCTGATGGACTTGCTCGGCGGAGAGTTGTCACAAACCTTCAATTTGGAAAATATGCAATATCTGTGAAGCACATAAAGTGAAGCACAATAAAATGAGATATGCCTCTACTAAAAAAATGCTCAGGTAATTTTAAAAGTCTATGTTGCAAATCTTCCCAGCCAAAATAGACTTTATAAATGAATTTAAATGTGAAATTCCAGACAGAACAACTACTTAACTGAGATTACTGCTTCAGATAAAGATGAAATAATGGAGACTGGATTTACCCTCCCACCTGAAACAACTAAAACACTGTATAAAACATATGAAATAACAGCTTTCAAGACATTACATATCAAATATTGAAGGACAGTGATCCCTGGAAGACAGAAAACCTTACAACTGCCCATGCTTTCTGTTTAGAGAAAGCTTTGAGGCCTAGAAGTAGGGTGACGAACCTAGGAAGCGCCTGTTGGTATCCCTGAATGGAGAAGCTGAACCTGGGAGTCCAGGAAAGCCGAGGGAGCTAGAAGCACACAGAGAAGACCGGCAGAGAGGAGAGTGTCACACGGAGAAACAGCTCCAGAGATCTGCAGAGGGTCCCCTGGAGTACTCAGTTGATTCTGATCGGCACATGCATGGGAGAAAAATACCCAAGCTAGCGCAAACACTGCCCAGATTTCAGAAAATAACTGCCTACCAGATAATTCCTGCTGAAAGCTGCAAGTGCAGAAAAGCATATATGGCTTGGAGTCTTTCCCATCCCTTCATTGTTAGCTGCCTGAATCACATCAGACTTTCCCCTGCCTCTTGGAGATACAGTATTGCTGTTGACTTTTTGTGTTTGGCTTTCTGGACTACTTGCAGTCTGACAGTGTGTACCTTTCATAGCAGAAGTTACTCAACCATGAGCTAATAGCATGACTCTACTTCCCTTACTTTTCCGTTACACACTCCTGAGTAGTTTGACTATTGTCCCCATAATGAGATTATCCTTACTAGGTTGCTTCTGGGAATGATCAACATGGCCTAGCTGCTGGCACCTCCTTCTCTTTCTTTGGGATGCCACTCCGTCTTTCTTTCCTCTCTCTGTCTCTCTCTTTCCTCTAAAAAGGATAAAATAAACTTTTTACTCTTATATATCTCAATTTCTGCATCTTTCTCCACCTGTGCCATGAGCACCTACAAGGCTTTCCCACCCTAACAAAAGATCTTAGCAGACACTACCAATGGAGATATATGCAATGGCAAATCGACACACAAAATGATGCTCAACATTATTAGGTTAATGCAAATTAAAATCATAATGAGGCATCACTACAAACCTCTTTGAGTATCTAAAATGAAAAAGACTATCCCTGAAATAATTACAGAATCAAAGGGTGTGAGCATATTTGGGCTTTAGCCATATAATGCTTATTTGTTTTCTAAGAGCTTCACTGAATAACTCTTACCTGCAACCAATGAAAGTAAAAGTTCCACTGCCCTCCCACCAGCACATTAGGAAAATATTTTAAACACAAGTTTCTCTTAGACATTTAAGGGATTTAGAAGTAGTAAATTACCATGAAGCTTTGGGGGGCTCATTTTGGCAAGTCCCTCTTGTTTTCTAGTTTCATCTACAAGTATTTTTCTCAAATTTAGTTGGTAGAAAAGCAATTGTAGGTTTAGTGCACTTTGTGGAAATGCAAAAAATAGAACAGGTTAATTCAATACTAGCTACAAACAAAAGAAGTCACATGCTATGTTCACATTTAGACCAGCAAAAACAGTCCTCAGAGTGAGAAAGTAATTATCTACTGGGGCATTTATCAGAGGCTCAAATAACAAAGATAAAGCCAGTTGCAAAATTAATAAAACACAACCTTTCTCCCAAAGAAATACTGCACATGTAAAGATGATTTTAGGTAACTATCGCTTTCTTACTGAAAAACTTCCTTCTCTAAAATCACAGACTATCAGAAACTTTGAGAATGTATCAGTAAGGATGAAATAACTTTCTTTTGGCTGGAGAAGCTATCACTTTGACATAGAGACTCAGTTTCACATTCCAACCCTAGTGCTAGTGCACAGATAGCTACACATAAGGAAAGCCTTTCTGAACACAACGTTCCTGTATCTGTATTAACTTCGTAGTTCTCAGCAAGATCCTGGGTCCATTATGCAGTCCATACGTGACATTGAACCCTTTACACATAGCCCTAACTGACTTTGAATCTGTGAAACCATTGCTTCAGTTAAATTTCACCTAAATTTCTACTTTTCCTTAAAAAGTAGCCGGGTGTGGTATAGTAGCAGGCACTTGTAGTCCCAGGTACTTGAGAGACTGAGGCAGGAGGATCGCTTCAGCCCAGAGTTTGAGGTTGCAGTGAACTACGATGAGCCACTGCACTTTACCAGGGGTGATGCAGTCAGACTCTGTCACAAAAGCAAAGCAAAGCAAAGCAAAACAAAACAAAACAAACACAAACAAAAAAACTTATAATAACTATTTTTTCCTTTGTATGGTGAGATGCCTCCAAAGTTCCCTGCTGTGTGATCTGGTCATTGTAGGTCGGGGACAGAATGATAAAGGTGAGTTTCTAGGACTACAGACCTGCCAACTAAAGGTGGTCTTAGGCTGATACAGTTTTTTAAAAAGAATGTTCTCAATTAAAATGTTTTCATAAATTGTATCTGTTTGCAATCATTTGCGTATAAATACTGAACAGGAAAAGGTGGGCCATAATTTTGGTAAGGCAATATCTGAGCAAACCACAAAAAAAGCATTTTAACATCATTGTTCTATAGACCAATACCTGGGTGTAGAAAGAGAGAGAAAGGTCAACTATCCTACTTCAGTAGAGCAGTGGCCAAGAGGGACGCATGCGCTGTAGCTCAGAGCCTCGATTCCCCTCGAACTACCCGGGGCGGTCTCGAAGCCTACCGGAACTACAATTCCCAGCATGCTGAGCGGCGCAGAGAGTGGAGGCGGTGAGTGAGAGAAAGGCTCGGGGGCTCCTGGGCCAGTGAGGACAGCTTTTCCTTTTGAAGCGGTTTTGCTCTTAGTTCTGCCTGAGTCGTCGGTTCCTCAGCGGTCACGCAGGAGCGGGAGGAGTCGTCGTGGTGGCGACGGCGACCCGGGACAGTAGCGACGGCGGCGGAGACAGCAGGAGCGGTGGTGCTGTCAGTTAGGCCGTCGGAGAAATGGGAGACCCGGGGCCGGAGGTGAGTGGCCGGGCGTGGGGCCTGGCGTCCTCAGGGTCGAGCCGCGGAGGGTTTTGTGTTTTCCGCCGTCTGAGGCCTAGTGCTCGGCCGCGGGCTCGGGGCGCTACGTCTCGGGCGTCCGGGGCCGAGCCCGGCTTTCGGGCCTGGTGCGTGTCTGCGCGGGGAACCCGCGGCAACAATGGCCGCCCGGCCGTCCCCGACCCCTGCGCGGGCCCCGGCGCTCGGCGCTGCCGCTGCGCTGGCGGTGGGAGCGACATTTTAAGACAGGATCGCCCTTCGGCGATGAGCTCGCACCCGCCTTCTGGAGGAGGCAGGGGGTTCTGAGAGGCTGTGACTCGTTTTGAACGTTCGGTCTCTCTCTGCAGCTCCGCGTACGCCGTGGCGAAATCGGGCTCCATCGAGTCGTGTTCTGAGTGGGGTTTGCGTGGAATTGCGCTCGGGTAGTTTTCCTCGAGAGCCTTTGTTTTCATCGCTCCTTTCGGGAGGAAAAAAAAAATCTCTTCCTACAAGTACGTGGCTTAATAGATAAGCATGTTTTGGCTTATTTTTATAGATAATAGAATCTGCCCCTCCAGCTGGGCCTGAGGCATCTGAATCTACAACGGATGAAAACGAAGATGACATTCAGTTTGTTAGTGTAAGTAGCAACTGATAATCGGTTTTCCGCAGAGTGAAAGACTGTGGTAGATTATGTTATACCACACCTGGTCATCATTCAGCAAATATTTGTGAATGTCTGATATGTACTAGACACTGTGGAGCATGGCATAGGATGGGACATTCACCCAAAAACGTATCTGAGCCGCCGCCATAGCCATCACAAGAGATTGGCCAACGTAGGTGTGGTGCGGTAATCAGGCGTCTCAGGCCTTCTTTAGAGCCTAATTTTACTTAAAATTGTGGTCTCAGACTCTGTTTTGAAGTGGGGCAAGTGTGTCTTCTAACAGGTGACACGGAGGAAAGGGCTGCTTTTAAAAACTTTTTTTTTTTATGTTTTTATTTTTTATTTATTATTATTTTTTATTTCAGCATATTATGGGGGTACAAATGTTAAGGTTATGTATATTGCCCATGCCCCCCACATACCAGATAAATGTTATTCCTATATGTCCACTTAAGTGTTGATCCGTTAATACCAATTTGTTGGTGAGTACATGTGGTGCTTGTTTTTCTATGCCTGAGATACTTATTAGTAGATGGTTCCAGCTCTATCCAGGAAAATACAAGAGTGCTATGTCACATTGTTTCTTAAAGCCGAATAGTACTCCATGGTATACATACACCACATTTTGTTAATCTACTCATGTATTGATGGGCACCTGGGTTGTTTCCACACCTTTGGGATTGTGAACTGTGCTGCAATAAACATTCGAGTGCAGCTGTCCCATTTGTAGAGTGTCATTTGATCTTTTGGGTAGATGCCCAGTAGTGGAATTGCTGGATCAAATGGTAGATCTACTTGTATCGCTTTAAGGTAACTCCATATTGCTTTCCACAGAGGCTAAACCAGTTTGCAGTGTAGGAGTGTTCCTATCTCTCCGCATCCATGCCAACATTTATTGTTTGGGGACTTTTTGATAAAGGCCATTCTTATTGGAGATAAGTGATATCTCATTGCAATTTTGATTTGCATTTCCCTGATGATTAGAGATGTTGAGCATTTTTTCATATGTTTGTTGGCCTTTATTCTGTCTTCTTTTGAAAAATTTCTGTTCATGTCCTTTGCCCACTTTTTGATAGGGTTGTTTGATTTTTCTTTGTTGATTTTCCTGAGTTCTAAATAAATTCTAGTTATCAGCCCTTTATCGGTTGTGTAGCTTGTGAAAATTTTCTCCCATTCTGTGGGTTGTCTGTTTGCTCTCTTGACAGTTTCTTTGGCCGTGCAGAAGCTTTTTTTTTTTTTTTTATGAGACAGAGTCTCACTTTGTTTCCCAGGCTAGAGTGAGTGCCGTGGCGTCAACCTAGCTCACAGCAACCTCAAACTACTGGGCTCAAGCAATCCTCCTGCCTCAGCTCCCGAGTACTGGACTACAGGCATGTGCCACCATGCCTGGCTAATGTTTTTCTATATATATTAGTTGGCCAATTAATTTCTATTTATAGTAGAGACGGGTCTCGCTCTTGCTCAGGCTGGTTTCGAACTCCTGATCTTGAGCAATCTGCCTGTCTTGGCCTCCCAGGATGCTAGGATTACAGGCGTGAGCCACCACACCCTGCCCTGTGCAGAAGCTTTTTAATTTGATCAGGTCCCATTTATTTATTTTTGTTGCTGCTGTGATTGCCTTTGGGGTCTTCTTCATAAATTCTGGTAAGGAAGGAGGTAGGAAACAAGAAGGGTTGGAAGAACTCAAAATCTTAGCATTGTGTTGCTTCACAAGATGAAGGCAAATAGCATAAAGAGTTCATAAAACTTTGAGATGATTATGATTAGGCTTAGTACAACAGTTGATGCTCTTAATGAAGAATCCTGCACCACCAGGAACATGCTATATTTTTCTGAGTTTATTCCCTGAGTTATTAATTATTGGCTGGTAAGTATAAACAGGTGGATTCCTGGGCTCCACTCCAGAATTTTAAGGTGGGGGTGGCATGTGGTAGCTCCACATCTGTTCATGATAGCTATTTGGGTGGTAGAGGTGGGAGGATTACTTGAGGCCAGGAGTTTGAGACCAGCTTGGACAAAATAGCAAGACCCCATCTTTAAACAAAAAATTGTTTTAAAATTAGCCAGATGTGGTGCATTGCTGTAGTCCTACCTACTTAGGAGGCTGAGGTAGGAATATTGCTTGAGCCCAGGAGTTGGATTTTATAGTGAACTATGATCCCACCACTGAACAAAAAACAATAATTTAAAGATGGGTCATAGTAATCTTTATTTCGGAACAAATCTGGGTACATGTGGACCTCTGAACACGTTTTGTAAAGCATTGGTTTTAAAAACAGAAGGGAGTGTTACATTTTGGGATGATTTTCATCCATAACTGGTAAAGTTTTAGAAAGGCCCTGTTTCAAGTTGTGTCTCAAAATTTCCTCCCTAAACATTGTGATGTTACCTTCATTGTTTGTTGTTTTTTTTAGGGTTGTGTAAAAATTCTTTACAAGATTATTTTCTAGGTTTTTTCTCATTAATAGTGTGTGTAGTCCTCTGTTCTTGACACTGGGTCCCAAGAGAGGTTATATGCTGACTCTGCCTTTGCTGTTGTGATGAGTAAGTGATATAACTGTGGATATTGACGAGCAATAATTTCTCTTTTTGTACTGGAAAACATTTGGAAGGAGGATTTCATGGCTCTTTAGGAAAAATAATTTTGGTTCTTCCTGACTGTGGGATAAAGACTGGAATTATTGGGACACTGTAGTCCTGATGGTGTTTTGTGCAACTATAAGTAGGAGTGACACACATTCTCATTATGATCTGTGTGTCTTTGAGAAACACAGAAGGAATCTACAAAATTAAGGTTAGAAAAATAAATAATTTGTGTAATACCCTGTGGAATAAATCATTATATTGGCAATTCTGACTAAGTTAATATATAAGCTTATGTTTAGGTGAGGTTTAAAACTCTTAATTTAAATTTTACTTTTTAATTCAATTTAATTTTTGAGACAGTTTTGCTCTTTCTTGTCTGGACTACAGTATAGTGGTGTCATCATAGCTTGCTGTAACCTTAAACTCCTGGGTTCAAGTGATCTTCCTGCCTCAGCCTCCCAAGTAGCTGGGATTATAGGCGTACACCTCTGTACCTAGCTAGTTTAAAAAAATTTTTTTTTGTAGAGATGGGAGTCTTACCTTGTTGCCCTGCAATGTTAACCAGACTGGTTTAGAACTCCTGGGCTCAAGTGATCTTCCTGCCTCTGCCTTCCAAAGTGCTAGGTTTACAGGTGTAAGCTACTGTGCCCAACCTAAATTTTCTTTTAAATGTATAGAATCTTTTACTTCTTTGCATACAAAAGTTTTGTATATCCAGCTTGATAGAACTTCTTATATTTAACCTTGTTCCAAATAAATGCTCAAAGATTTGACAGCTCTATGTGGAGAAGTGAATTACATGCTCTCAAGGTAATTGCAGTGCCAGAAAGAACCTAGTGAAAACATTCTTATTGCATTTAAATGGTGCCATGTAACAGACAATGATGATTTAATTCTATCTTAAAATACATTTAGAGACAGAATCTGCTGCTTTGTACTGTAACCCCATCCCATACTGGGCTCTACCAAGATATGCTTATTTCTTTTTCTTTTTTATAATACCACCCAATAAAGATGAGATGCTGCCAGGTATAGCCTTCTGCTTGAGGCTTCTTGAGACACAAAAAAAGACCTTAGTATGATACCTTTTGATATGTTCTGCTTTGGATTCCTTAGTGTTTTTATACAAGTCTTGATTTTCCAGCCTTCATCCTGCATTGTGGCACAGCATCCTCTGTGTTTTGCCATGTATATTGCCCCCCAAATAAGCACAATATGCTGAAAGAAAAGAATGACAAAGATTTGGAGGTACAAAAAGAGCTCTTATCTTTGATATAAATGTTATTGAAGTGTAATGTTCATACAGAAGTATACTTCCTCATTGTTGTCCTTGTCATCACTCTGTTTTAGTACTATATTACCATTTGTCTGGGTTGATTATCTTGTTTGTATTCTTCCCACACTGTATACTCTCTTATGTGACTAATCTTGAAACATGGCTCTGATAATGTCATCCCAATCTCAATTTTATTTATTGATTCCTTTGCCTGTAGAATAAAATGTAAGGTTTTGACTGGGTTGTTTATGGCCTGGTCTGTGATAAAGGTAGTATGTATGTAAAGAAAGGATCGAGAAGATTCAGAGTTTGATGTTTGACTATGTAGAGATGTGGATGATAAAGCAGATTTATTGAAGAAATTCATTGCTTCAAGTTTAGATATCTAAGAAATTATTAAAAACCATCCTAGTTAAAATTATTATACCATGAAATCTGTATCTTTTTAATACTATCTCTGTACTATTTCCTATTCCCAAAGGAATACACATGACTTTATTCTTCTATGTAGATTTAGGCTCTTCTTGTGTTTTGTCATTATATATTGAGATACTATGAATCTTTTCTTCTGCCTCTTTTATTTCTAGTTATTTTGTGCCACTTGCAAGATTTCCTCAGAGGAATCCTTATCAATTCCAACCAAAAAACCCCCACTGATTGTAAATGCAAGTTTAATTTGAACAGTTGCTCATAACTTGTAAATATGCTCACTTGTTTTTAGGAAGGACCATCGAGACCTGTTCTTGAATACATTGATTTGGTCTGTGGTGATGATGAAGAGCCTGGCACTTATCATACTGATGTAAGCACATCATGTTTGTGTTTTTTCAATTTGATTATTAAGTGCAATAGTGTGCTGGAGATGCCTTGAGCTGGGTTGTAAGAACTGATTGTTACATTTTCAGGAATTTTGTGAGCTGATTTTAAGCATAGCAGTCATTAAAAATTAAAGTATATAAATGTATAAGTACATAAATTATCGTTACATTTAAGATAATGCTGAAACTCACTTCCTACCATCTATGCACTTGAGGTTATTTTCATCTGTTGTATCTGTATTTTAAAAATACTACATAATAGTGTGCTGCTGCATCGTGGTGTTTGTATGTACCCCATGGTAATACAAATCAGGGTTTGATTTATTATTTGCTGGTTGTCTGAACTTAAGAAAGTGAGGGATAAAATGTTAATGCAGATGAAACTCAAGGTGTTATGTGTCTCTGAGTTTAGAATGTATGCAATACAAAACATGGAGGAAATTGCCTTGCAGTATTTGAAAACTCTTCTTCATAAATTCAGCAAAGATGTTAATGTCATTGATCAATAAGCGGAACTCTAATATATGTCTTCCTTGTTTCAATTTCATCTAATTCATTAATGTAAATGAAAATATCACCCATCCTTTAATTTGGAACTGCAGTTGGCCCTTCATATCTATGGGTTCTGCATCCATGGATTCAGTCAATCGCAGATAGAAAATATTCAGGGAAGAAAACAACAAAAAATAATGTAACAGTAAAATATACAAATGAAAAAATACTTTATAACAATTATTTTTATGGCATTTACATTGTATTAGGTATTAAAAGTAATCTAGAAATGATTTAAAGTATACAGGAGGATATACATAGGTTATGTGCATATTGTGCTATTTTATATAAGGGACTTGAATATCCAAAAATTTTTGTTGGAGGTGGGGCTTAGATATCAAGAGACAAGTGTATGCTCATTTGCAGTTCATATGACCAACCTTTTTGCTGAATTGGATGATAATCATTCATAGTCAGATTTTCTGACATTGTTATTGGCTGTAGAATTTTTAAAACTTACAGTGGGGTTTTCAAGAAATCGCAAGTCACATTGAAGTTATAAGTATAAATTGAAAATTAAGGGTAACTTTTAATTTAAAATTTATTTCTAAAATTATATAAATAAATCATTCTGAGAACTTTTACATTAACCCTTAAAGTATTGTCATGATTTTACTTACATGTGTAAAATTATTTTTCAGATTCCGTTCCCTAAAATGTCAAAACGACAGGGTGATTTTTTACATTTTTTAAATGTGAAGAAGGTGAAGATGGAAACAGAAAGTAACAATAGGAACAAAAATCATTGTGGATTTTCTAAATCAAAGGAACCAAATTTTGAACAACCAATCATTGAAGAAAAGCCATTGTGTTCATTAAAGGAAGAAATAGATAATCTGGTGCTTCCAGATTGTTGGAATGAAAAACAAGCATTTATGTTTACAGAACAGTATAAATGGCTTGAAATAAAAGAAGGTAAATTAGGATGTAAGGATTGTTCAACAGTTCGACATTTGGGATCGAAAGCAGAAAAGCATGTCCATGTGTCCAAGGAATGGATTGCGTATTTAGTAACCCCTAATGGTAGCAATAAAACTACTAGGCAAGCTTCTCTGCGAAAAAAAATTAGGGAACATGATGTTTCTAAAGCCCATGGTAAAATTCAGGATTTGTTAAAGGAATCAGTTAATGATTCAATTTCTAATTTGGTGCATAAACAGAATAATAAAAATATTGATGCTACCATAAAAGTTTTTAATACTGTTTACAGTTTAGTAAAACATAATAGACCTTTATCTGATATTGAGGGGGCAATAGAATTACAAGAAAAAAATGGAGAGGTCAATTGTTTAAATACACGCTACAGTGCAACAAGAATAGCAGAACATATTGCAAAAGAAATGAAGATGAAGATATTTAAGAATATTATAGAAGAGAATGCCAAAATCTGTATCATAATTGATGAGGCATCTACAGTTTCTCACAAAAAAAGCACCCTAGTGATCTATCTCCAGTGCACAGTTCAGTCAGCTCCTGCACCTGTTATGTTATTTGTTGCTTTAAAAGAATTGGTGTCAACCACAGCAGAGTGTATTTTCAATACATTATTGACTACTTTAAATGATTGTGGGTTTACAAATGAATATTTGAAAGCAAATCTAATTGCATTTTGTTCTGATGGTGCTAATACAATACTGGGAAGAAAGTCTGGAGTAGCCACAAAATTGTTAGAATATTTTCCTGAAATCATCATTTGGAACTGTTTAAGCCATCGATTGCAATTGTCACTTGATGATTCAATATCTGAAATAAAACAAATTAATCATTTTAAAATATTTCTTGATAAAATTTATTCTATTTATCATCAGCCTAATAAAAATCAAACCAAGTTTTTAGGAACTGTAGCTAAAGAACTTGAAATTGAAATTATTAAAATTGGTCGGGTAATGGGACCAAGTTGGATAGCATGTAGTTTACAGGCTGCTACTGCTGTATGGCGTGCATATCCTGTATTATATATGCATTTTTCTCATTCTTATTCTGGTTTGGCAAAGAGATTAGCAAACATTAATTTCTTACAAGACCTTGCTTTAATGATTGACATTCTTGAAGAATTTTCACTACTTTCGACTGCATTACAGTCAAGATCAACTAACATTCAGAAAGCACACAAATTGATCAAACGTACCATTAAAGCTTTTGAAAATTTAAAAATTGGTACTGGAAAGTATGAATCTCAAATTGAAGAACTGATTAAGTCAGAGAAGTTTAAAGATATTCCACTTAATAAAAATAATAAATTTAATGCTCTTCCTAGGAATATGTTACTAGAAAATATTATTCAGCATATGAACTTACGTCTTTTATCTGACAGAAACCATGATGATGAAAGTATTCTTAATTATTTTGATTTACTAGAACCTTCTATGTGGCCTTATGAAGAAATAACTTCACCATGGATAGTTGGTGAAAAAAAATTATTTCATTTGTGTGAAATTTTAAAATATGAAATCAATTTGAATGATTTTCGGGAATTTGTAAATAATAATATAAAATCAAACAATGTTTCAATTCCTACAACTATCCAAAAAGCTAAAAAGATAGTTAGCACTATTGCAATCAATAGTGTTGAAGCTGAAAGAGGTTTCAATTTAATGAACGTAATTTGTACGAGGGTGAGAAATAGTTTAACAATAGATCACATATCAGATTTAATGACAATAAATTTATTGGGGAAAGAATTAGCAGATTGGGATGCAACTCCATTTGTAAAATCTTGGTCAAATTGCAACCATAGGTTGGCTACAGACACAAGAGTTCGGCAGAAATCAACAAAAGCCTATGAGAATCAATTGGCTATACGGAACTTACAATAAAGAGTATTATATATGTTTTTATCTGTAAATTGTGTACCACATATCCTTTATATAGAGAGTTTTTTTGTAGGGGGGAAGCCACTTAAACTTTTATCAGCTTGTTGCTGTTTTAAAAGGCATTTCTCTACAGAGAGAAAGTTGATGATTGGTTTCGGGAACTATAATTTTTTAGAGATTGGCCTATGTCTGCTAGAATGGGTCATAATATATATTCTAAGAAGTTCTGTACAGAACATCCAACCATTTCCACTTCTGTACTATTTAAGGATGCAAAAAAATAAGATGACTCAGATCTAAGTTCCTAAGTTCCGGAGGTTATTTCAAATAAAAGAAATGGAATCAAAACTGTAAGCCTTTTGGCTCTTGTCTTTCTCATTTCCATACTTGTGCTATCTAGTACAGTAGCCACTAGCTACATTGGCTAATCAGCTCAGTAAGACTAAGAAAGTAAAGTTTTTATTTAAATATAAAAACTGGAACTATAAAATACTCTGTTTAACTTTACTGTTTCTTAGGAATATGTATGGTTGTTGTAGTGTGCCTATCAAAACGTGTCGGCTGGGCACAGTGGCCCATGCCTGTAATCCTAGCACTCTAGGAGACTGAGGCAGGAGAATCCCTTGAGCTCAGGAGTTGGAGACTAGCCTGAGCAAGGAGACCCCGTCTCTACTAAAAGTAGAAAAATTAGCTGTGTGTTGTGGTACGCACCTATAGTCCCAGATACTTGGGAGGCTAAGGCAGGAGGATTGCTTGAGCCTAAGATCTTGAGGTTGCTGTGAGCTAGGCTGACACCACGGCACTCTAGCCCAGGCAACAGAGTGAGACTCTTGTCTCAAAAAAAAAGTGTCATTTCTAATATTACACATAAATCACTGATTAAGTCCATGTCAGCAGATGGATTCATTGCAAATTATTTTTTTTATGAATTGATGTAACAGCTTGTTTATTTGAATATTTTATGCAGACAATAGGAATTACCGTGATATGTATGTAAATCATAACTGGTAATTAAATACTTATTTTAATTATGATTAAATTATTTTTCTAGTTTATACATTGAAAATGAACACATTTTTAAATTTAAAATGAAGGCATACTGAAAAAGAATCAAGTGGAAATGCAGAAGCTAGTGCAACAACTGGAACAGTAAACAAAAAGTGGAAGAAGGTATGTTGCAGATTTCACAATGGCAATTGCAGTTTATTGTGGCAGAGCAGAATAAGGTGTTATTTAAAATTAAAATGAGAACTATTGAGACAGTTTCAGCACATGCAAAATGAATTAGATAAATTACCTTTCAAAGGTCAAAAAGAATGAAATTCAGTCACATAAAATCCAAATAAAATATCTAATAAAAATTTTTTTTAACAATTTTAAAAGGATCTGAGGTTATACGTTTGGGCAGATATAAAACAGCTTAGATTCTTGCATGAAGGAATTTTAGATAGATAAATGGTAAAAAAAAATCAGTTGTAGAAATTGTTAGAAAATTATGAGTAAAAGCCTAAAAAAGATATTTTATAAAAAAAAATCAGTTAAAATGGTGATATAGCACCTCTTGTATTATTCTGGATAGAGCTGGAACTCATTCTTTTACGTGAAGTGTCCCAAGAATGGAAAAACAAGCACCACCACATGTACTCACCATTAAATTGGTATTAACTGATCAACACTTAAGTGCACATATAGTAATAGCATTCATTGGGTGTCAGGCAGGTGGGAGGAGAGGATGGGTATATACACACCTAATAGGTGCGATGTGTGCCATCTGGGGGATGGACATGTGATGGACACGCTTGAAGCTCTGACTCAGGGAAAGGGCAATACACATAACCTAAACATTTGTACCCCCATAATATGCTGATATTAAAAAAAAAAAATCAGTAAGTACTAAACAGTTGCTTTTAGAAAAGAGGACCTAACAATATCAAAAAATTAAGTGATTATAAACCTGAAAAATTGCAAGTACTTTTCTGTAGTTTTAGATGAGTTATGTAATACAAGAGATGCTGCCCAACTAATACTTTTAAGTTTTGTCTCATAGGACTTAAACATTATGAAAAAATAATATCAGTTCATGACCTAAAATGTCAAGCTTGTATAGCTATTTTTTAATCTTTTACATATAACATTTTCTATCACATTCAATGGCACTCCAACTAGGTTAGGTCAAAAATCAGATTTCATTGGAATTTTAAAATGAACCTGATACTTCTTGGTGTGATGTGGTGACTCACGCCTATAATCCTAGCACTTTGGGAGGCTGAAGTGGGAGGATGGTTTGATGCCAGGAGTTGAACACCAGCCTAGGTGACAAAAATAGAAGTCTGTACAAAAAATATAAAAGTTAGTGGGTTGTGATTATGGGTGTCTGTAGTCCCAGCTACTCAGTATGCTGAGGTGGGAGGATCGCTTGAGCCTAGGCGTTCAATGTTGCAGTAAGCTATGATGATGCCACTGCACTCTAGCCTGGGCAACGGAGTGAGACCCTGTGTCAAAAGTAGGATGAACCTGATTTTTCTCTTATTTTTTCATTCCACTGTATGATACAGTTTGAAAATTTTTGTCCTCAGTTTTCTGAAACCGTCTCTACAAAAAGTGTCATGGGTACAATTAAGTGTCCATTATTTAAGTGCAAACGGTATGAATCAACACCGGCTTACAGGATTGTTGAAAGAATTTCAATGAATTTAGTATACTTTGAATTTAGTATAGACAATGAATTTAGTATACTTTGCCAGTTGCTGGGACTGTCAAAGAGTTTTATAAAACTTTACTGTTAACTCCACTTCAGGAGTTTCTTGCAATAACAGGAATGCTAGCCAAATATTTAACAATCGAAGACCAAAAAATGCCAGTTTGATTTTTATACCCAGTTTCACATGGCATATGAATGATCTAAATTGGAAGGTCCAAGGATAGGAAAAAGCTTAATTGTGCCCTACCTAGACAAGGACTAGAATTTATGTTCAAAACCAACTTCTAAAAATAAAAATCAGAATAATTTTACATATTTTTCTAATGAATCAATATGCATGAGATTTTAATTGTATTTGACAATGTTATGTAAATTTACTGCAAAAACTACAAAAAAATTTTAAAAATACTGATAAATTTAGAATTCCTTTTGATATACTCAGTAACTCTGAATTCAATGTTAGCAATACTGAGCTGACATAAGACAAATGGTTTCAAACTGATATGCTTTTGGTCTGAAGTAAAATCACTTTTAAAAAGAGGAATGGGATTTTTTTCCAGTGTGGACATGAAAATAAAGGAAAATGAAACTATGTTTTGAACAATATGGATATGTGGGTCTACATTTTTACCTATGAGTTTTGTGAAAATTATATAAAATCAAGTATTTAGTTTTTTTTTTTTTGAGACAGAGTCTCACTTTGTTGCCCAGGCTAGAGTGAGTGCCTTGGCGTCAGCCTGGCTCACAGCAACCTCAATCTCCTGGGCTCAGCGATCCTACTGCTTCAGCCTCCCGAGTAGCTGGGACTACAGGCATGCGCCACCATGCCCGGCTAATTTTTTGTATATATATTTTTAGTTGGTCAATTAATTTCTTTCTATTTTTGGTAGAGACGGGGTCTCGCTCAGGCTGGTTTCGAACTCCTGACCTTGAGCGATCCGCCCGCCTCGGTCTCCCAAAGTGCTAGGATTACAGGCGTGAGCCACCGCGCCCGGCCTTAAAATCAAGTATTTAGTATGCAAAAAAGTATTCAGAGGAATTGAGACATGCTTTCAATGTAATATACACATTGGATTTTAAAGATTTAACATGCAAATTATCATATTAATATTAATAACTATATGGATAATACATTGAAATAATATTTTGTATATGTTGGGTTAAATAAAATATTAAAATAACTTTATCCACTTATTTTTACTTTAGTATTATATGTAGCTTGCATTGCAGTTCTATTAGATAGCACTATCCTGTATGATGATTACTTTCAAATCCAAGTTTCTCCAATCTAGACTTTACTCTTGACTTCAAGATCCAGTCATCTGCCTTTTCATCATTTTCACATTCTTGTCCCTTAGGCATCTCAAACTGAGTATGCCCCAAATTGAATTTATCAATCTCTCATCATCAGTGTTTTGGACAATGGCTCAACCATTCATATTTGTTGCTTAAACTAGAAACTTGGAAGACATTTGAAATTTTTCTTCATCAACTTGCCTGGTCTTTTCCCCTTCTCCCACTGTAGTTATTATCTTAGTTCAAGGGCTTGTTTTTCTTGCTTAGAGTACAATAATAGTTTCCTAACAGGTCTCCCTGCCTTCACTCTTGCCCCTTCTTAATCCTCCCTTCCATCCTTCACACAAACTTAGGAATGACCATTTTAAAGAACATATTTATTCCTTTTTTTTTTTTTTAACATTCTTATAACTTTTATTAGTCAGGAAGACATTCAGACTTAACAGAAAACTCAACTTAAATCACTTAAACAAATTTATAATCTTGTATAACAAGAAATCTGGAGATGGCTGCAGGTTTTGCTTGAGTAGCTTAATATGTCATTGTGTTAGCTGGGGTGATTTTGGTCTTTCCCGCATGGTTGCAGGATGGCGGGCACAGTTTTAAACATGCTTGATTTAATGCAACATGGCAAGGGGTGGAGCAAGCCCTAGGTATTCGTCAGGAAATCAAAAGTTTTGCCAGAAGCTTTTCCAAGTAGATTTCTATTTCACTGGCCAAAACTGTGTCAGCATGGCCATCCTCATTGCAAGGGAGTCTTGGATGCGAGCTTTTTTACCTTTCCTAGTTTCTATGGTAGAGGTAGGCAAGAGAAAAAAATTGAGAATGGATGATGGGTTGGCCAGCCTATGAGTCTACCATATTTCTCCTCTACAGAAAATCTTTTTAAAAAAAATTGTTTTAGAGATAGGATCTTGTTCTGTCACTCCGGCTGGAATAAAGTGGTGTGATCACAGCTCCCTGCAATCTGGAACTCCTGAGCTCAGGTGATCCTATCCTCCTGCCTCAGCCTCCCAAATAGCTAGGACTATAGGAGTGTACCACCATGCTCAGCTAATTTTTTAAAAAAATTTGGTAGAGATGAGATCTCGCTGTGTTGCACAGGCTGGTCTCGAACTCCTGGCCTCAGCTGATCCTCCTGCCTTGGCCTCCCAAAGTGGTGGGATTACAGGTGTGAGCCACTGCACCTGGCTTTCTACTGAAACTCTTTCACTGGCTCCCTACTTCCTTCAAGATAGTTAAATTTGACTTTTACTAAAGGGTTATATTACAATAAGGAGTCTGTGCCCTCTACCCAGTGCTTAGCTCACGGTAGCTACCACTGG